CCTAAAGCTCCAAACAAGCACACCTGCAATTCTGCTGCAGTGCATAGGCTGGATTTTTAAAGGTAAAGGTTTAATGTGTCAGTATTGTACTCTTGTCGTACTTGTATATAAATAGTTTTGGTCGAGCACATTAAGTAAAAAGACAACTGGCCCACCAGGGAGGCTATACTCAGCAGATCCAAAGAATCATGGAAGCATTCTTTTAGGCAGGTGAGGTATAATTTGAGCACAGTGGGTGTTATAATGCTTTATGGTTTTGTGTGTGTGTGTGTTTTCCAGTTACACAGGCTCTGCTCTACTTGTAAAGAACAACCAGGGTGATAATTAGCTTGGCTTTTATATCTAAATGTCACATGCTGGCTATATTACAGCATAATGCTTGATTTGACTTTCACTGTGTTTGCTGTAGTCCCTGTACTTTCTGTTCACGTTCTACATTTCCAGCTTAGTTTGAATAAATGTGATGCAGTAATTCAATAGCATGGATGAAAACACCACATTCAAACATATATGTTCTCTATTTCTGTTTTTGAAAATCTGTCCCACAGCTTCCTTCTATGGCGATGGCTTTGTACAGCTCAAGGCAACGGAGTCATCTGACCATAACGTGCTCCGCATTCGCTTCCGAACCTCCAGCACCAATGGCCTGCTGTTTCTCGCTGCTGGACACACTGACTACTTCCTACTAGACCTTTATGATGGTCGCCTGCAGGTGGGTACATCTGTGGCTGCAGCACATTGTTCAAGCATACATGAGCCCACATGTGCACACACAAATGTGCATAGATGACAGACATACAGTACACAAATATGTATGTGCTGGACCATGTACACGCACACAATAGACACACACTGACCACCGTAAGCTTTGGCTTTATCTCAGTTGACAGTGTCAGTCTGTCAGCACAGTAACACAAGCAGACAAGCCTGCATGGTGTGAGCTGAGTGTTAACACCATGCCAGTCACTCCTTGACACAGTAGGAACTAGGAGATTATGAAAGATCTGTTTTTATTGTATTGGAATGACAGTGTATTTATTTTAGCCGGATAATTGTGTCCTGATTACCACCGCTGGCAAATTTTATGAATTATCAAACTGATCAGTGTCCCCAGCAGGATGCATTATTTTTAGGCCTCAACACAGTCCTTCCTGAGAGGGTTTAAGGGTGAAATACATCCTGTTAGTAGCCCTGCCAAGCTAAATCGGCATACAGAATGGAGAGATGTACTGTAGGAAACCTGTGCATCTATAGCCTAATATGTAGACACATTAATGTGAAACACAGGAGGTCCTGAGATACATGTTATAGCTTTTGTGCATCATACCTAAGAAATCTTTGTTAGACTTGTCGGAAGTGGGTCATACAGACAAGTCTGTTGCGATGTCATACTTCTTTGAGCAAGAGGAGTGAAATGCTCAACCCTGTTCCTTAAACTGGCACAGTTCACTAAATGTTCACTTTCAGAAGTTTTCCTCAGGCTTGGGGTCTCATTCCCTGCGAGTCAGACATGAGCGTCGCTCCCTAGAAACCCGTGCCAGAATAGCAGGGACACAGCAGCAAGCCTTGACAAGCATGCCATCTAAAGTGCAGCATTAGTTTAAGGTGGTGACATGATGGATCTGAGGACATAGCTGAAGGCAAAGAGATAATAATGCTCTTCCTGCTTAAATCACAAAGCATGCTGTTATAACAACAGATGACATTATGGAATATAAGCAGTTTAAATCCTGTGGTTCCCGCTCCAGGTGTCACAGTGTCCACAGTTAATCATCAATTTGCATAGTTCTGGTTAATTAAGTCAAGCCAGTTTTTATTCTTATAGCCCAATACAAATTTGTCTTAAGAAGCTTTACAATGTGTACCATATACGACACCCTCTGTCCTTATACCCTCAAATTGGATAAGAAAGAAATTCCCCAAAAACCCTTTAATATGGGGGAAATAAGGTTCAGTTATCTTTTATGATCATAATATGATTACCTGGCTGAAAACCTACCCCTGCCATTTGGAACCGCAATGATATCATTATTAGTTAGAAGGTTATATAAGAAAAATGATATTTCACTAATGGCAATTTTCCTCAGGACCTAGCAGCTGTTGAGGATATGCTGAACTTGTTGACCCTCTACTGAACCAGCAGTTTTCACCTACAGTTTGGTCTTACTTGCAAGTTTGTAACATTTTTTGTTGTCTGGTGGTACTGAGTTTTCCATGAGCCCTATATATCTGAACAGTTTTGGAAGAAGTACTGAGATTGTTTACTTCAGTAAAAGTAGCAATACTAGTGTAAAAATACTTTGTTACAGGTAAAAGTCTTGCATTCAAAATGTTACTTAAGTAAAAGTACAAAAGTATTAGCAGAAAATATACTTAAAGTACCAAAACAAACAAATGCTGGTAAAAATATAACTAACATCTTTAAAGTGACAATTAAGGCTGCAACTAATGATTATGTTTTGAACGATTAATATATTTATTTTTTCCATTAATCGAAATAACCAGAATTTAAATGGAATTTCTGCTTTGATCTTTAAGTGTATTTATCTTTTACTTATCATTTAGTATTGTAATCCAGTTGTTTTGTTTCTTCTTTTAGCTGAAACTGGACCTTGGCTCAGGGGAGCAAGTGTTAGAATCAGAGCGAGGCACTCAGCTCAACGACCTGGCCTGGCACTCTGTGGAGGTCCGCCATGTGCAGCACAACATTACTCTGACTGTAGACAAAAACTCTCACACCCATGTAAAGCTGCCTGGTTCCCATCATGACCTCAGTATCTTGGATGGTCTTTATGTTGGAGGCTCAGGAGGCCTGGATAGACTTTATCTCACTAGAGAACCAATTGGCTTTAGAGGCTGCATGGATGATGTGGTCTTCAATGAACATGACTTGCTGTCATCATTGAGACCATATACAGGATTCAAGAATGTCCACGAGGTCTCTTTGGGCTGTAGTCCCCAGTTCTTTGCCACTGAGGAGGACCCTATCAGCTTCTTCAGCTCCAAGGCTTATTTTTA